GTGTAAGTATGAATGTGAACATGATGCGTGTTTGCAGTGAATTACAGGTGTGAATGGTATGTCTGGAATGCAAGCAGTTCTACCACAGCGCTCAAGTGGTGCTGAAGGCCAACCACTTGTCATATTTCACATGTTTGTCTTGTAGGTATAAATGGACTCTGTCACGGGGGCTCAATATGAGATGTCGAAGACTGAGAAATGAACATATTGAACCCATATTTTCAATTTCTCCTCCAGTTTTAGTATTTTATGATTACCTTCTCAAATCTTGATCATGCTTCAGTTGAGCTAGTAAGTACCAGATGACATGTTGACTTTGACAAGTACATACAAGGCATGATAACTCAATAAAAGTTGTGGTTAATATGTGAGTAGTCTAATCTGAAGACTCTATCTCATATGAAACAGTATCAAAATAACTATGACACAAGAATTATTCTCAGATTTTCATCAGGGGTTGCACAGGGCCACAGGCTATCTTTTAAACAATCAGACACCAATCAATGATGAATCCAAAAAGTGATAAGGAAAGCAGTCAGTGGTTAAGCTTATCACAGTTAAACAAGCCTATTGTATATTTTAGTTTAATTATTTTACTTCATGCTCCATTAAATCATTGATTTAACAATTATGTTGTATGTCTTTAATCATAATAGATATCAATCTTAAACTTGTGAACATCCAAGGATAAACCTCTCTCCAATATTCACTCCCGTCTAAAATATTTCAGCCAAAGTTTATAGTAGACTCTGAGTCGAGAGAAAGATTTATAGCAGGAAACAAAAGTCTAAACAAGAAGACATATTCTAAACAAGCAAAGTTTTAAAGGGCAATCCAACCATAGATTGTGTAAGGTGTGCTTTGTTGGGCAAGATGTTGAAATATATTTTGTAATAATTACCATGCATAAATTGACTGTACTATTATAACTTACAAGAGGTACACAATTATTTTATAAAGAGTTCTCTCAATCAATCCATTAAATAATGGAAACTTGTATTTTTTTTTATTTTCTACTAAATTTTCATCGACAACAAAATGTAATGGAGAGAAGATCCATCTCAAATGAAATCATATAAAATTGCCTTGTCTGATCTTCTTGAATAAAAAAAACAAAATATATATATATATATAAATCCTCTTTTATTCTTCTTCATTTGGATATGTTACTTCTAGGTTCTCTTTAAAGCAACCAACATGTAGCCATGGACTTCCGCTTGAACTCATCCTGACATGTAGAAATACAAAAGCTAAGGGTTTTTTTCTTCTTCTTCTTAATTCTAAAACAATTAAATGCTGTACTCATTACATTTATTGTATGTATAAATCTGATAAATATCATCTTATTTACCTAAACTGTTGCTAATAAAAATTATAGGCCTATTCCAAATTCGTTTTCATTCCTTGTTTACCCCATATAAGATTTGCAGTCATCATGAGAGATATGAGTTTTAGCTAATGGAGGAGGATGCTTGCAGCAGTCAAATGTTCTTATTTGATTCATTATACCAAACAAGCTTAATGGCGTGGAGACGAGCAGACACACGTAGGTTGGATTCCTAGAAGTCGCTTTTCTTGAAACCACATACGAAAACAAATAAGAATGCTTGTCAATACAAATTGCTGTTTATGAATTTCTCTAGCCCTACTATCTAGTCGAGAGGCTTTTCCTGTAGACACAGTCTAATGGTATTATCTTTCAAGATTTACACAAAATAGGAACCTTTAAAATATACGATTTGCAGGTAAACAGATTATTATTGGTCAATATCATGAATTCCTAGAAATATGAACACATTCTTTCAGTATAGTAGCCTCAGATATCAAAGATTGTTGGTCTGGTAAAAAAGCACTTCTTTGTCTAAAGATGAATCCGTTTTGCAGAATTGTGCCATCGATAACCATACGATGTATGTCAATATTGTGTACATATACATCTCTACAATTTACTATGGATAAACACTTATCAAAGAAATAGAAATACCCCTAGAGCAGATCTTAAGAAGTAAGATTTGCTTTGGAAACTTGAAATGATAAAAGAAGGCTTCTCAAGATGAATAATGATCTCTAGCCAATTGATGAAAAATGTCAAATATTTGCAAAACTCCCCCATCCTGTTGCTGGAGATAATATTTGCAGTGCTATCCTTTACTCATTACAGACTGGAATAAAAGAGAGGGAATTTGAACTTCATCCACTACAAGGAAAGGAATTAGAGGGGAAAATAGTTTCTCCCACACAACTACCCCTGAAACCTCTTGGCATAAACTCCAATATGCTCATGGTTATTGATTACTAGAATACTCAATGAATTTCCAATTATTCATTTGTAACCTATTTCTATTCTTCTTTTGTATGTACTTGTATCATGTAGATTATTCAAAATTATGGATTCTTTTCCAATAAATATGATTATATTTGATGATTTGATATGATTTTATTTGATATGATATGATTAATTTGTTTTGCCTTATATAGCAACATTCTGACCATCTCAAGTTTAATTCCTATTATATCATTCATTATTGCCTCGCAATGCAACAGAATGAATGAGTAATGGAAGAATCTTAAGTCTACCATTAACCACACTAAATATAGTTGATGATGATGACGATGAAGATTAATGATGATGATGATGATGATGATGTTGATGTTGATGTTGATGATGATGATGATGATGATGAATGATGATGATGATGATGATGTTGATGTTGATGTTGATGATGATGTTGATGTTGATGTTGATATTGATGATGATGTTGATGTTGATGATGATGATGAATGATGATGATGATGATGATGTTGATGTTGATGATGATGTTGATGTTGATGTTGATATTGATGATGATGTTGATGTTGATGATGATGATGATGTTGATGTTGATGATGTTGATGTTGATGTTGATGTTGATGTTGATGTTGATGTTGATGTTGATATTGATATTGATATTGATATTGATGTTGATGTTGATGATGATGATAATGATAATAATATCAATAATTATAATACTACCCTCTTTAAAAAAAAAGAGTGAATTTTCATTCTATTTTCACTTTCTTGGGAGTGACGTCTGTGATCACTTGTTTAGGAGTGAAAATCAATTGATTTTAGAGTGCTCTCTAAGAAGAAAAGAGTGAATGTTCACTCTATTTTCACTACATTTTCACTCTCCAGAGGAGTGACGTCCGTGATCACTCAATTTTTTTTAGAGAGTACTACTACTAAATAATGATAATTATAATAATAATACATAAACAAAACTAAGAATATGTTTTAGGCAACATTAATATATGGTCAAAAAGTCAGTATAAAGGCTTACACTGATGAAATTTAGTGATGACTGAAACAATTCTTGAGAATAGACTGCAGCAAATGTAGACCAATTAATTGTATTAATTTCATATAGCAAAATGCATAATTACAGCACCTTCAATAATGAGGTCTGAGAAAAAAATTACAGAGCTGCATGATTCCCTCCTACACATGCTTCCTTAAAGGATAAAATACTCTTGAAGTTGTATAAGATTGTTATCCTGTGTGTATTAATTTAAAGCACCTCTGTCATTATATGAATAAGGTCATCATGTGGATTTTTAATCTTTTCTTCTGGTGTGAAAGAGCCCATAGTGGCTGAGAAGAGGTGGGCCATGCCATTGTATGTAAGTTGGAACATGATCCTTTATAAACATACATTGACAATGATCCACTTAGCTGGTCCTTGCTCCCTCCTAAACCAATATTGAATGTTACAATAAAAGAACTAGCAGTTCAACCCCCAAGGCTCCATGCACTGAAGAAGAAAAACACCTAATGAGATCATTACAGTAATCAAGAAGATCAGAGGCGACAGCTCTCGAGTACACACTTCTTGATTTGATACAGAATCCATGAGACATGTAGCAAATAATGGATTAAATCAATTATTAGCTTTGTTTCATGAAAAATTGTTAGATTGCCATGCACCCCCCCCCCCCCTCCAAGAAATAAAAAAAAATATATATATATATATATTCTTGCATTATGAATGCAGATCTGAAAGTTTACAGCAAAATTATCAGCGCACAAAAAGGCCAAACTCTCAGCAGTCAAAGCTTGACAGAGTACATCACAAATCATGCTATTAAGCTTTATTAGCTTGTAAAACCAATGAGTCCTTAAAACTAATTAACTCCTTGGTAAAAGCAATGGAAGCTAGCTCACATACCCCTGCAAGCATGGGAGTGCCTTCATCTTCACTGAAATACTACTTCTCTCATGAATAATTGATTGGAATATTTATGCCAACCACTAAGATCCAAAACTGGTGAAACAATGACCAATATCACAAAAGGCTGTGGTCATATAATTGATGATGAAGTAATATCATCTAAGAGTAAGAGAATAAAGTCAATTATTCCACTTGTCAATCTAGTCATTGATTTGGTTTTTAAAAATTATTTCTTGGTTCATGTACATGACTTAATAGATCATCATTTTGGGCACATAACCCTAGAAGCACTAGAGACTAGAAGAGTACCAAAAGAAGTTGGATAATATGAGCATACATGTATATATCCAACCACAGAATTTTATTTTACAATTTAAATTCAGTGTTCTCATTTGGGAATTCCCAATCACTCCATATTCTGAGATGTATAAACAACCCTTTCATACCCTCCCAATTGAGATCAAGTTTGTATTACTACATGGCACATGCACTTCAAATCCTGGGATAAAATAAATCCTAGATCGTTTACATTCATACCTATCCAATCCAAAAGAAATCCAGAGTATTTAAGTTAAAAAAACAATAATTACATTAATGAAATTTTATGTTGTTTATAGTGCGGGCCTCTCTTCTTAAGTCGCAAAGGTCATTAAAAATACTAAAGAGTGAAAAAAGTGAGTTGAAAATTGTCAAAAGTCTCTACAGACAGATCATATATCCAGGTATAAAATGATCTGGTATTAACTCATTGGCACATGACTTCTTTCATTCCTGTAAGATTTACACAGGGACTGCCTGCTGTCCCAGAGGCATTGGGTTAAGTAATACTGTGATATTTTCTTTATGAGCTTTGAGGAAGAGAATTCCAATGCAGATGAGAACAAGAATCCTACGTTATGTCAGAACATGATAGGGTGTTTCAGAAAAAAAAACAGTTAACAAAATCTTCGCAAAATATTATGAGCAGCACCTTAATTAAATGTTGATATAAAGTGACTTTCATTTGTTACAAATAACTTAAAAGCTTGAGAGAATCAACAATCCCTCCCTTGCCATTAAGGGGGTGACCAAGCAGACCCAAAACACTTGACCTTTTAAACTAATTTTCAATTGTATATTTCTTGTCAATTTGTGTTATATTGCTATCTATCTGGAAATATACAGCAGAGCTGGGTTTTATTTCTGAAGAGCATTACATGTATGTAAAAGATAAGAACCTACCTTGTAGTCTATGAAGGCTCCATATCCACAACATACTTGGAGTCCAAGAAAAACACACATCCAAGCTTTCCAACAAATTCTCTCCATTCTTTGAGATGTAAGACAGTTCAATAAATATATTTGAGTATGATCAGCTCAGCTTGTAATGTCCTGCTAGAGATGAAGTATTCCAAGTCTGGTTACATCCTCGATCCTCATCTCAAGTTTGCACTCACTCACATAATCCCATCATACAATCAAATAACAAAATTAAATGATGCAGCAAATATCACATATTTTATCTTCCTGGTAGCAGAGAATAAAAAACTGAATCCAAATGTGAATGAATTATATCCAGCCTATGCTTAGCTTTGAGAAGATGATAGAAGTGGATTAACACCAGATGAAATGAGAAGCGGCATGGCACTAACTGCTTCAACTCCACACTAACATGGCTGATGAAGAGAGCTCTAGAGACTAACCACCGCTATGGGTAGGATGGACTGCCGAGCCGAGCTAAGGACGGCCCACTCTATCTCAATCAGCCAGTCAGTGAGCTCTCTGTGTTGACCTAGATCTGATCAATGTACACACAAACCGCTTCATCGACTAGTCTCAATATACAGACTCCTTTATACAAAAAGAGAGCCAAAAAAACTTCCTGAAGAACACACTGTTAAAAGATAGAATTAGACCTGTTTTTACATATTTCGTCCTACTAGTGGGAGACAATACGGGTGACCACTGTAGACAGGTGGCCTTTAGAGAGAGGTGGCCGCTAAGAAAAAGTTTGACTGTAAATGTATATTCAAGTTCTGGGATAAAAAATGGAAAGTGGTATGACACTTGGGGTGCGTTTAAGCTTAAATTTTGAAGGCAGAATGAGCGATTTGTAACGCTCATCGTAATCGCAGTTCCACGGTGTACTGTTTATGCTCACTTCTCTGGCTCCTCCAGGCAATTCTCCCTGGGGGCCTTAATTGGCCTAGCAGCTGGATTCGCAAACCTGCACTGTGCATGCTACGTAGACCCACTAGAGGTCAGTGCGTTGACCCCATTTAAACACGTTTACAAATTGTAAACACATCTTTTTGTGAGTTTATGATCACAGATCGTGATCGCCGTTTTTCGGTGATTCTACAAAAGTGAGAAAGGACGCAACCGTGTTTTAAACTAAACGCGTAACAGATGCCTGATTCTGGCCAGAAAAAGTTAAGCATAAACACGCCCTTGATGAGTAGGTCTTCGTACTGTTCTATTTGGTCAAGAGAGACATGTGCCAGATACATAGATTTCCTGTCCATGATTTCAAATGATTTGAGGGTGTAAATAAAAACATCAATTTGAAACAAACAAGGACTGCCAGGGATATAGCAAACTAACAGCAGTGAGGTTCCCATGACACTCTGTAGAAGTTACAAGCCAGGACAGATCTTCAGGTAAGTGTGGTAACTACAAGCAGGGGGAGGGGGTCCTCACTTGTTCAAGATTTTGCCAGCTTGAAGTTATGATATACTTCTCAAATCACAATGATCTTCAAGGTCAGTCTTCTCCCTTGTTTAAAGGGATCGTTTAACAATGTTAAATCTGAGATATGGTGATATGGTGTAATATTGAAGCCCTAAAAAAATCGTGCTTCAAAATGATCAAGAAGTGCCTCAAAAAAGTAAAAAATCTTTGAGTGACCGGTTTTACCATACTCGTTTTCCCCAATAGACTGTAGGGCGAACGGTTTTAAAAATTTGTTATTCCAATCATTAATATCTTGATAATCAGACAGGCGATCGGCTTGTAAAAGTCATGGAGTTCCTGACTGACCTAAAGGTTTATAAGTATCATCGCAGCATGAGCTAAATCAAGGATTATTTTTAAAGGATCTAAGACAAAGTTACCGGATCCCTTTAATACTTCCATATAAAGACAGGAAACCTCTACAGCAGTCTAGACTTGTAAGTATGTAGCTATAGATCAATGACAAATCAAAGAAATCTGACCAAAAGTTATTTGGGGCCTGACCAAAACTATAGGCATTGTATTGTTTATAGAGAGAAAAATCAATAGTTACCCCACTTAAGGCCAAGTGATAGTTCAGCATAGCACTAACAGTGATCAAGAAAAGAAACATGATCTTCACTTGAAATTATCCATATGGCTTCACATAAATTTTTATTTCATTACCAAGCAACAAAGAACCTTCAAAACAATTCAGAGGCCAGCCAAACTTTGGCAAAACTTTGGCAGTAAAACATGTATTGGAAACATGATTAGAATTGATTGTAATTGTGTGAAATTGAGTTTTTACAGACGTGTATCAATCAGATATGATTATTAACGTCTGGAGACCAACCTTTAACGTCACCATCTGAAAGACGTATTGAAAAGATAATGGAAAAATAAGTAACAGCAATGAGACTGAACATAATCATAAATGCAAATCAATTTGAAACATTTCTTCATACTTCACAGCCAAATCAAAGGGGCAGTTGTTTGACATCCTTCTTTTCTAAGTGCATAGGGACTTTCTTTATGTGAGTGATATGCGCTATACAAATAACTTTCATTATTATTATTATTATTATTATTAGAATAAATAAAGATTCAATTATCCGCAGTACAGGGGTGTATATCTGTTTTCATATCATATCTACAAAGTCTAATTTGAATGGGCAAGATTGCTTAATTGAACAATGAACAAATACTTCTTTTTGTTATAAATACATTTTTCAAAAACTTTTCCAACACATTAGAAGAAATAGAAGAGAAGACTTTGGACAGACGTATAGAATAAGTAAACAGGTATGTGAAAACAGTATATAAAATTGAGTGAGTCTTACTGTTATGATGGATTCTGACATCAACATGCTGTAAATTTAAAATGTACCAATCAACCAAACACGATATGTAAGTAAGTGTTCCATTAAGTGTTCCAACCGGAGTGTTGGCTCAGTCAGTAGAGCGTCCGCCTCACAACCGGGAGGTCGTGGGTTCGAACCCCGGCCGCGTCATACCAAAAGACGTTAAAAGATGGGAGTTGTTGCTACCTTGTTTGGCGTTCAACAAGAGCAACGTCGATCTGGCGCTGCTCAGTGGCTGCCGGGCTCACGATCAATTGGGCAAAAAGAATTTCCGTTTCGGGTTAATAAAAAATTTGGAGTGGACTATTAGGCTATTATTATTATTATTATGTTACTCTACTGTATTCAAAATATGAGTTTTGAATATTATTTCTACAAAGAGGTTTAATACATTTTCATTACACATAAAAATGACTTGTTGTGTAGACTAGTCAACACAGAGTACCCAAGTCGGACTTGGGATCAAGCGTGGGTTTTATGTTGTCCTTAAGTTTCTTCATACACCTTAGCCATTAACCTATAGAATACCAATTAACCAAGGCAATCGGTACACTTTAAGGAGTAGGGTCTATAAATATTTCAACAGAACCATATATAATTCATCTCTGTCATAAAGTCTGTCTGTTGTCTTTTAAATTTGCTTTATATTCCTTCATTAGAAGAGAGAAGAAAAAAAAATGGAGACAGAAGAGGCAAGAAGGGCTAACGCACAAAATACATTAAAAAGTTGGGAAAAGAATTAAGAACCAGAAATCAAAATAGATAGATGATAAAAAGACAAGACTTAAATGAAGGACAACAAAGATAGATGAAAATAATTAACTAAGGAAATATGAGAAGAGCAAAGGAATAGTAGGAAAAGAAGATTCATGGCATTTTTTTAATTCAACTTCCATGATTCATAACTTTCTTATTTTCCATCATTCTTTTCTATAGCAATCTATATTGACATACATGTACCTCAGAAAACAGTCATCTCCAAGTAAGCATTTAAAGTTACTTGTAACAATTATAAAGTGTGGGATCAAAATGTGGAAAAAATAAAAGTAAGAAAACAAACAAATCATCTAATCTTTCATGTTAAACTTGTGAATCAGCCTAGCTCAAGGACTAGTATTTTACATGGTAAGCCTGGAATTCTTCAGACAAGTTGTCACAATCTAAAGTGGGAGGAACATTTTTTTTGAATCATTTTATGCACTGTACAAATGTATGAATTAGATGGACAACATTAACCTGTGTGTGCGTAAGGGGGGGGGTGATTCAATGAATTGTGATGTGTCATCAAGGGCAGTTTGAATGATTGACATCACCTTTCAGGGTAATCTTTGACATTCTTATTTATTTTTCTTGCTCACTAAAACCTCCACTTGTGGAGATTTAAAGACCATTCCTGTTTTCTTTCCACATTCCATAACATAATGCATAATTCTGAAGCCCCCATCTCATTGGGCTGTGACTGTTTGCGACGAGTTTGAATGCGAGGGACTTTCCAAAATGTCTATGTAAATTTGCGAGAGTTCTTGATTTCCTCACACGAGTCACAGGGCCTCGCTCTCGTGTTGATGGAATTTTGAACATGTTCAAAAAATTTGTGCAGCAAATTTTCTCTCAAAATGATCCAACAGTCGTCGCAGGTGTCTCGAATCCTTCTCAATTTAGTTTCAGCGAGTCAGAAAGTGTGAGAAATGAAAGACAACTTTGTGAGGGGGTTGGCGACCTATGATATTAAATCGTGACTGATTGGGAGGCAAAATGAGAATCTGGCATTCTAGTGCGAGACAGTGTGCGAACTGGTGACCCATGGAGTGTGACAAAATTGCAAATTGATTGAGAATAAAATGCAAACAAATTGCAACAAAACAAAAATTGGACCAGATTTGCATGAATGTCGCACAAACTCTAGGTGAATTTAGGTCAAAATTTTGACGGTAGTTTGTGCGACATACACAAATGTGTAGTAAGTACCAATTCAGTTTGATTTTGAAGTGGACATTGTTGCTAATTATCATTTTTTTTCACAATTTTGTGTCTCGATCAAACTAGTCATGAGCTGTCGCAGCCCAGTGATATACTAGCATTAGTTTAGATTCACTGTTCCATTCCATACCAGAAGCAAGATCACTCAATACTGTGCTTTGCCCCCGGCCCCCCCCACTCAGTGTTATTTAGGGTACGCATATGCTCGTACCCTATTTTTGAAAGCACCCCCTATCTGAGGAGTGCCAACATTTCCGAACCCCCCTTTCGCGGGCTTTTCGCTGGCTTTTCCTGCCTTGGAGACCCCCCTAAATCAGGAAAAATGCTCATTTTACCCCCCTAAATTCGGAATAATTTCTCAGGTGTCCAAAGAGATGAGAGAAAAAAAGAAAAACACCCCCTTTTTAAAGAAATCTCCGGGTGAAAAGTCAAATACACCCCTTTTTTTACAATTCTCGGGCCGGACTTTGTCGCACGAAAAGTACCCCTTTACCGGACATTTTGGCAACACGCATGCGGTCATTCCGACCTTTGAGTGGGGGGGCCGGGGCTTTGCCATAGCTTATGAATGTGACATTAAGTGCACGAGGAAAAAAACCCAGATGCAGATAAGTGTTTCCAATAAATT